CTCGTCTGCTACTTCCCCGTGTCTATCGTCTCTCGCATTTTTTCCTCGTCTACATGCAATCTTTCCGGAAGTAGCAATGCTCTTTGACGGCGCCTTTTTTTTTTATTTTGGGGTTAATTACAAAACACCTTCTCAACAAATGCATGTTTGACAACCAACGACACTTTGAACTGTTAACCACAATCACTGTATCATTATATGTGATTTCTCACAAACTATCAAGGGTTTCTCCTTGTACAATCAATGTGGCCCTTTGAATTGTCTGCTGTTCAAATCTTGATTTTCATCACCGTGCCACTATATGTCACTTCTTCTAAATTTATATAATTCCGTAGTACATCCGTTTAATTTAATAGTGATTCAGTCCCCGTCAATTCCTCAATTGGTCCTGTTGAGCCTCCCCTTCCCCTAATATAAGGTAGAGTAGGAGTACAATAGATGTTTGACAAATAGTGTTTGGCACTTGAGTGCCTTGTGAGTAGGAGGTCAGGGACAGGAATTCGTTTGGTTCCAAGGTAATTTAGCTCCTCCAAAATTTTCATTGATTTAATTGGGAGTGCCTCCTCTCCAGTAAATTAATAATGGTTGTAGTTAAGTGTCAAATGACAATAAAAAAAAAGGAAACATATGACAAATACACGTTTCTCTCTTAGCCACTCATTGTTAAATGGGATCAATCAGTCCGTCAGCATTTTTTTTTTTTTTTACTTGTCAACGACCAAAATTTGAATGCGATATCTTCATGTGAAATGCACATGTTACAAGGAAAAGATAAGTACACTTCTTCTGGCGTCACTCTCCGTCACCCTTGGAAAACGAGAGGCGGGGATGAGGAATGGCAGGGTGAGTTGAGGGGAGGGGTGGAAGAATGAGGCAAGGTGCAACATTGTTGGCCGGCATTGGGAGGTGGTGTCAATGGTGTAGAATATTGGTTTTTTATGTTTTAAATTTTTTGGTTTTTTTTTCTTTTAGGTTTTCTTTTCAGGTGGCACTCTGGATTCTATTGAAACATTGAGTAAGGCATGTCCTATACACGTATCATAAATCTTTACTGAATATGATTTTTAATCATCTTTCTCTTTTTTTTAATTATTCTTTTTTTTATATATATCATATCATAAAAAAGTGTTACAAAGTTATTTTATCTTTTTTTTCAAATAATCTACTATTTATTCTAATCCAAGCACTCATGGATTAATCCAAATTAATAAAAGGAATTGAATAGTTGATATATATGTTTCAATGATTAAAAAAGAAAGTGAAATAGATAATATTAAAGGTTGGCCTTTTGAATAATCTAGAGATTTTTAACTAAATAACGAACCATAATAGAGTACAAAAGTCCATGTTAAAAAGATGCAAAGTAGCAAGTCTTTCAAGTGTGAAAGTTAAAGTGTTATATCAAGTAACTAAATGCTAAGTTGAAATGTAGTTACATTTGCGGAGGAGTGAAAGGCAAGAGCTTTGGGGGACGGGGGATGGCATTCCAAAATTCTCAAAGTTCGTAGGGGCTGAAGGAAATATTTTAGAATTTACAGGCCTCCCTCCTGCCCTGCGGCTGCCTGTTGGGCTTCAACTTTGATCTCCAACGTTACGGAATTTTCCGGGGCTTCCAACAGGAACACTCTGACCATCCAACTTAAATGAAAACCAACAGGAGATAACCTCTCAGAAGGATGCACTCATCGCCTAGCCACGTGCATGATACAAGAAGTTTCTCCTGTTAGATAAATTTTAGTTTGTTTCAGTAAGATGAAAAATCTTTTATGTTTTGAACAAATTGCAATTGTCACTGACATTAGTCTTTTTATTATTAGCATTAATTAAACACAATCCAGCATTAGCGAATTTACTTTTGACAAGTTATCCAAAGAAGAGGAATTTTGGATGTAGATCACAGGTTTGATTCCAATATTCTGCATTGAAAGAATATCAAAGAGAGTGTGTGAATAACGCATCAATGCACCTCTCTAATTCTAATCCAAATCTGAGAGTATTTTGCACTAAAAGAAAATCTACAAGATAATGTATATAACTGTCAATTTAGCTCTGTGATATAAGATGAAGTCTTATGCACTAAAAGGGTTAAAAACCTCTGCGGCCTTCCCTGCATCTACTCTTGAGGATTAAATCATTTTTCGTCCCAATTCAACTACTCAACTAACTAATTAGTACACATATGACAAATTTGTCAAATTGTACTCGTAATCTAAAAAAAATAAAAGCTAACACATGCAAATCACGTGTCAAAATCTAAGGGTAAATATGTTCACTGAACTTTTCAAATAGATGACAAAAAATTTTTGTGGCCACTACAGCATTCTAATCGTATATTTTGAATCACTCAATTATTTTTTGATTCAGAATGGCTACTAAACTCATAAATGTGTGTATTAGTGGACATTTCATCCAAATTCAATGTGTATATTAGTGTACACTGCACACGCCAAAAACCATAGGTAAATTTGGCCAAATATATGAGAAAAAAAAATCTCAAATAGCCATTGAACTATATAAATAATATATTCTTAGTGATTTTTCGTTCAAATTGACCACCCAACTCACCAAAATAGCATACTAGCAAGCTTTCATTTTTCATTGGATCTACTATTTCCATTTAATTTCAGAGTTCTTGGAAATAATTTATAAGAACTTGAGCTTATAATTTAGATTTTTTTAAAACTTATAAATTAGAATATATTAAAACAACTATTAAAGTTTCTAAATTTTATTTTTTTGTTAATTAAAAAATCTAAAACTCTTGGTGACAACAATGTAAAAAAAATTAACTTTACGACATTGTCTTTGTTTTTGGTACATGAAATGCACATGGAGCAGATTCCAATAGCATTAGTAGAAACGTTTAAAGGAATGACTACTAGAGTACTGATTTAAGAGTTCAATGACTATATTGAAACAAAAAATATTTGAGTAGCCAAATGTGAACGAGCAAAATAGTTTAGCGACCGTAGGGGTTTTTAGGTTTAGATTGAGAAGATCAATGGACATATTTACCTTTAAATTTTGACACATGATTTGCACGTGTTTGATATTTTTTGTAAATTAAGAGCAAAATTCAACGAAATGATCATGAGTCTATTGATTAGTTAGTTGAGTGGTTGAATTGAAATGAAAAATAGTTTGATAGTCAAAAATAGACATAAGAAATAATTTAATATCGCCGAGGTTTTTTTCCCGTACTAAAATTAAGAAAAATCTACATGGTAACTCAATAACTAAATTACACCTTTCTATTTTAAGACGGATATTTTCCTCTTATGATGTGCTGAATTGCTTTGGCTTGCCCTTTTCCATGAATATCAATGACGTTGTCAGCGGTTAAATTTGTGAGTCGATTGGAATTTGGAACGTCAAGGTTTTATTCATTTATTTTTATTTGAAAAGAAACGTGATATACATTGAGTAAAGTTGTTTTCCGTAGAACTAAAAAAAGGTTGGGTCATCGGGGTTCGAAATCACACAAATGAAAAAGTTTAAAAGAGTGAAGACTGTGGCGGTGATTGGAGTTAGGATTAAACGGTATGCATTGCTATTAACATAGTGTAGCACTATTAAAAATTGGGGAATTGATTTGGTCCATTGCTCATGACTTCTCGCGTATTGCTGTCGTGAATTGGGAACCAACATGATGATACGATACTCTTTACAAGGAAAGAAGAGGAAAGAATCCATCTAAACAAAATAAAATACTCAACCAATTGAATTAGAAAATGTGAAAATCCCAATCAAAGACTACGACGGTCACATATATGTCTATAAAAATGGTACTAGTAATAATTAGGAAAAGTTGGAAGTGATAGTGGCTAGGGGTGTGAATCGAAATCGAAATCGGTAATTCGAAACTTTGAAATCGGAATTTTGGTATCAGAATTTTCGACCGATTTCGATTTCGAATTCACCAATTCGGAATTCAGTAAATTTTGATTTCACCGAATTCATGAATATAAAAATTATTATTATTATTATATAAATATTATATTACATATATATATATATAATATTATATATATGTGTGAAAACGAAATTGAAATCGAAATAGAAATTCCGATTTCACCGATTTCATGAATATAAAAATTATTATTATAATATAAATGTTATATTATATTTTATATATATATATGAAAAACATATTTGAAATCGAAATAGGAATTCCGAATTCCGATTTCGATTTCGAATTGTGAATTCGAAATTGGAATTTTCGATTTGAAAAATCTCGTTACCGAATTCTACTCGAATTCAACCAATTCGAAATCGAAATTCCGATTTTCATTCTGAATTACCGAATTCGAATTTTCGAATTCAATTCGAATTCGAATTGAATTCGGTCGGTAAATCGAAATTTTTCGATTTTGCACACCCCTAATAGTGGCATAAGCGACTCATGAGCACATCGTTCAGTGCTTGAAATTAATTCTAAATGAAAAGATTTGTTTCGCTCTTAATAATATTGCTAATATTTAATGGTGTCTAGTAGTAATTTGAAATTGTTTTTAACACAGATGGGTATAATTAAGAGTGCGTTTGATAAAATTGAAGTTTAAGAACCGAAAACTGAAATCTAAAATTTAAAATTTGAATCTATTAAATTATTGAATTGTTAAGTACTAAATATCATTATATTCCCGTCTATATCACACTAAGTAACAAGTAAATAGTTTATCACTTAATTTTAAGAATAAATTTTACTTAAAAAATTCAATGACACTTCACATGTTCAATTTTTAGTTATGAAACAGTTAAACATATTAAGATCTGAATTCATTAATTTTAACTGTTAAATTAAATTATCAAACAATACCTAACTTGCTATATCCGAACAACCTACGAATTTCTCTCCCGACTTCCCCGACTCTCTCCCTCTGAGATACTAGAAAAAACACCCTCAACAAAAATACTAGAAAAAACCAAAAATGGAAAAAGAAAAAGAAATCGACTAGTAGCACAGCTCTACTGCTACTGAAAGAAAGGGAAAAGCCAGCTCCGCGTCTCCTTCTTTGTAGTTTTTCGGTCTTTCCTCCCCGTGTAGGCAATAGAGGATGTACTGACCTCCAACAATAACTGCCACTACTCTCATTCTCTCTACACATATATATATACACCTGCTGGACCGTTCGGACTACAACAAATTCACATTCTTCTTCTTCTTCTTCTTCTTCGTCTGCCCTTATGAGCTCCTAGAGCAAACGCACAGCATACATAAATTCTGTAGGAAGAAACAAACATACGGTGGCTGCAGCGTGGCTAACTAGCTGGCACCATGACTGTTGCTTCTCAATATTCTTGCAGGGTGATGAGGAGGAAAAAGACTCGAGCACTCGGAATTCCCAGGATTGATCTGTCGCTGCTTCCTCTGGACAGGTCTAAGCTGTCCAAATTAATAGTCGAGGCTTGTGAAGAGTTTGGCTTCTTCACCGTCGCCAACCACGGGATTCCCAATCATATAATCGCAAGGATGGAAAGGGAAGGCGTCGAGTTTTTTGCTAAGCCCGCGTCGGAGAAGCAGAGAGCCGGACCTCCTACCCCGTTCGGTTACGGTTGCAAGAATATTGGATTCAACGGGGACAAGGGTGAACTCGAGTATATTCTCATGGAGGCCAATCCTGCTTCCGTCCGCCAAAGATCCAACACCATTGCCGATCACCCTAAACACTTCAGGTTCCATTTTACTACTCACTATATATATGCTGGAGTATTATTTATATGCATATCCGCAATAACATATTTATTACTCGCTTCGACTGGTTTTACAAAGTAGTACTATAACATCGTCATACTTACTCGGCATTTCTATTTTCGAGCGTGTTAGTTAATTAATTAGCAGGAGTACTAATAAAAAGAAATTTCACCCTTTTGTTTTTTTTTTTTTTTGCGTTCTTCTATATATATATATCTTTCAATTACATCATGATTGATTTTAACCCAACAAGATAAGTTCATCCTGTTATGTGATTCGGCGCTATGGATATTATAAATGAATAAAGCCAATAAAGCTGAGGAAGTGACCGCATTTTAAGATGAATATGCAGACCGTACGTTGCAGGCCCGCAAGGGGTTGAGGAATTCCGAGCCCCCCCCCCCCTTCCCTCAACTTTTTTTTTTTCCTTGCCAAATATTACTACTAGTATACAACTACTACCATATTCTTCATTTTATCTTTCTTGCTTGGGCCAGTGCTCCTAACGGGGGTTTCCCGATTTAATTTGCATGCCAAAGTTCGGGAAAGCTTTCACTCAATTGCTAACATAGCATGTACGTTGTGAAAAAGAGATTCTTAATATTCCTTTTTTCCCCCTCTATTTTATTTGTTTCTGCGGAAGACAGGGAATTGGGGGAAATAGGGAGGTTCGCTAGCTAGTCAGTATAAGATCCCATATCGGTTTTTTGTTTTTTGGTTTTTGGGGTGGGGGAGGGGGGTGTGGGAGTTGCAGATATTACTTCATCAAATTGTGGAATATTGCCTGAGGACGAAACTAACGTGTTCCGGATGATTACCATTAAGAAGCAGTAACGGTCAAATTTTGAGTTTTCAGACTTGTAAATTCACTAGAAATTAGAAAAGCAACGCAAATATGAACAAGCACTTGGGTACCTAACCATTTAGTGGTTTATTAAGTCGCGGATTTCCACCATATGCTAAGCACAAAGCACAGCAATTATGATGCTAATTTAGGGAGCGTACACGGACCAGTAGACTAAGGTCCTGTTTGATAACACAATTCAGCACTTAAATTTAATGAATTTAGTTCTTAATATATTCAAATCGTTTGATAACCAAAAATTAAACATCTAAATTAATTGACACTGAATTTTGTATGCACTCAAATATATTAGTTTTAATACTGAACAATTTAATAACTTACGGATTCAAATTTTAGATTTCGGATTTTAATTTTATCATCAGTTGGTAAGTGGTAGTAATAGTAGCTACGAATATATGATTATAAGATTATAAGAAATGAGTCATCTGCTGCTCCTATATATCTGCGCGTGTTGCTTTCCTAGCTCATTCCCTTGAGAGTTGAGTTTGAGTTGAATTGAGTTGAGAATTCTTTATCATTCAAAGATTGGTGGATACATAAAATCACCCCTTACCTAAATGTCTAAATGTTTGCCAATGGTCCAATCACAAAATGGGGTTGACAATAATAAGTAATTTATATATATATATATATATATATATATATATATATATATATATATATATATATATATATATATATAAAGAACTACAAAGTTAAGGGTTCAAGATAAGGGATAAAGTTATTCCGGTCAAATAGTCGCACGTGCAATCTCCAAGTCGCTGGTATTTTTTGGTACGTATATAGTGCGTACTATATGAACAAACATGTGTATTTGCAGCGAAATAGCTGTAGGAGTACTAATCAATACTTAGGTGGCGTTTGGTTCGCACATCGGAATTAGATTCGGATTCGGAATCGGATATCTTGGGTTTGGAATGAGGTCATTCATTCCAATACATTTGTTTGGTTCAAGTACCTGGAATGTGTATCATTACTATAGTTGATGTTTGGTTCGTCGACTCTTTCGGAATGGAATATAATAAATATATTATAAATCACATTGTAAATGATAGTTATTGGCTCTTTGTAAATGAGATAAAAGAAATTTTTACCAATTAAATATATTAGTATAAATGTATTAGTAAATTTAGTCTAACTGATTAATAATTTCTATTAGTAAACATGTATAATTATTAGTATAATTGATAATATTAATTATATTACACAAATTAATATACATTATATAATATATATAACTAATATTATTATTATTATAAGTTTGTAACTAATTAAATTAAATATTATATATATATAATTAAATATAAATATACAAATGTTATAATATAAATATACAATTATAATTATATAATATATACAAATATTAATTATACAAATATTTTATATAAATGTAATATATATTACATATTAAATATAGTTGTTATTATATATTATTATATTTAAAATAATAATAATTATTATAATTATATAATTTATTAATATTACATACATGTATATATTATAATTATACGCACATATAATATACATTTATAAATATACATATATATTATAAATATATTATTATATAATATTAATAAATTTATAATATATATTATATAAGTATAATTATATTTAACTAAATAATTATAATATATAATTATATAATATAATAATATCATTATTATAAGTTTGTAACTAATTAAATTAAATATTATATATAATTAATTATAATTATATGAAAGTTATAATATAAATATATAATTATAATTATATAATATATAAATATTAATTGTACTAATATTTTATATAAATATAATGCATATTAATTAGATATAGTTATTATATATTATTATATTTAAAATAATAAATATAATTATAATTATATAATTTATTAATATTATATACATGTATTTATTTTAATTATACGCACATATAATATACATTTATAGATATACATATATATTATAAATATATTATTATATAATATTAATAAATTTATAATATATATTATATAAATATAATTATATTTAACTAAATAATTATAATATATATTTATATAATGTACTAATATTATAATTATAATATATTATATATATGTATATAGTATAATATATAATATATATAATATATATAAATATTAATTATATCATTGTATAATTATAATATGTAATTGGATTTGTTTCTTGGAATCAAACTTGGGAATCGGACAAAACCCACCAAAATACTTGGGAATGGAGAAACACCAAATTTTTAGAAATCATTCCAAGATTTCAATTCCCATTCCAGTGAACCAAACACCATTTATGGGGTTCATTCCATTCCCCGAATCCGATACCCTTTTACCAAACGCCCCCTTAGTTAATACCAGAATAAGTCATAACGGCCTCCCTGATTCCAATATTGCAAATAGTCGCCGCAAGTTTATGTAAGTAAATATATAGAGTCGGATGTACTGGACGACATTGTAGAAGTCTGCTCTCAGTTTCTGGTTTCCAATCTTCCAACCTATATATCATTAGTAGCATCCATGGTGGGTCAAAAGACATACTACTACTAACCCATATGTTAGACATAGTACGCCTAAATGGTCATGTATCTTGTCATCTACCCTCTGTTACTATTCAACCTAGTGTCCTCAATTCAACAACTTTTGTGCCTGGGTACAAGAAATACTTGTGCGGGTACGATGGAGTGATATGCATGCAGCAACGGGTACAGAAATGAATCAGGGGGGAAAAAAAAGGAGGCAGGGCTAAGGGAAAAAGGAATGGAAGCAAGCATTAATGATGAAAGAAATGCCACTAGTAGTGGTAAATTAATTGCGCGTTCTCTAGTTTCTGAGTTGTGGAGGTGTTTGGTTTCTCAGTAAAATTAATGGTGGTGGTGTTTCCTGTGCAGCTGTTCAGTGAATGAATACATAGGAGCAGTGAGGAAGCTGGCATGTGAGATCCTGGAATTAGCGGCGGAAGGCCTGTGGGTCCCCGACAAGTCCGTATTCAGTAAACTCATCCAAGATGTCAACAGCGACTCCTGCTTCCGGATCAATCACTATCCTCCAAGTACAACCACCACCACCACCACCACCAGTACTAGTCCCTTCTCAAACCCAAAGTCTCCCAATTCTCCTCCTCCTCGCGTTGGATTCGGAGAGCACTCTGACCCCCAGATTTTGACCATCTTGAGATCTAACGACGTTCCAGGCCTCCAGATTTGCTGCACCCCTGCTAATGATGACGATGATGACGATGATGATGAGGATGAAGGCCTCTGGATTTCGGTTCCCCCTGACCCCTCCCAGTTCTGCGTTTTCGTAGGCGATGCTTTCCAGGTTCAGTACTGCTCTGCTTCCTCTCCGTCACTATCTTAGCTACTGCTACTCTATTACTACTACATTAATTAAACTATCTACTAAATATCCTTCACCTGTGCTACTTATCATGACTTCGCAGGCCCTGACCAATGGAAGGTTTAGGAGCGTCAGGCATCGGGTTCTGGCAAACTCGGCTAAACCCAGAATGTCCACCATCTTTTTCGGTGCCCCGCCCCTGAATGCCTGCATTTCTCCTCTTCCCCACCTCGTTTCCCACCATAGCCCCAACCTGTATAGGCCTTTCACGTGGGGAGAATTCAAGAAAGCTGTGTATTCCACCCGTTTGGCGGATCACCGGCTTGATCTATTCAAGTGCCCTTAATACACTACTCAGTTTTCCACCCCAATTTTTTTTCTTTTCTTCCTAGGGAGGTTTTTTACTGCGATTAAATTCTTTCTTCCCGCTGTTTAAGTTTATCCAATTGATCTGCCCCTCCTGACATATCCAACCAACTCACCCAGTCTGTAAATTGCATGGGGAAATTTTGCTTTCTGGGCTTTCCCTTCTGACTTTTTCGCAACGTTCCCAGTTCCACCCTCAAAATAGTTGGTGCTTCATCTAAATCTTTTCCGATCCATAGCATTATGCAGCAGTTAGCTGCTGAGAGCATCACTGATCCATAATCTCGAAATCATGCTAGCTGGTCTCTTTTGTACTGATGGAGCAGGGTTGAATATCAATGCATGCTGCCATGTCTACAAGTCATGAATAGAAGTTTTATATAACGTCCAACTTTTCAAGTTTACAATTTCAATTCAAAGTTCCACGCTAACCAGCCAAGTACTATTTACGCTACGGAAATTCAAACAATTTCAACATAGATAAGATGAACCGACGTCTTATCCATTATCTTTTACCGTTTTAATCCCTTCTTTTTGGAAGAAGGGAATAGGTAATGGGATTGCATACCTTAAACGTCATTGTCTCTGTGTCACACCGCAACAGCCACAACCATAATCAGATGTTAAAGAGTCATGCAGCTATAGTCGGCTCAGGTTGTGATAAGAAGACTCAGGGTAAATCCGTTTTGATTCAATAGTAGAGTAGAGCATCATGATCAGTTCGTGTGGGATAAGATTTTAATGGTCTAATTGTTCCGACCAACACCAGCGAGGGGTAACATCGGATTATAATATCATGCATCTGTCATCCAATAACTTAGGGTGGCTTTGTTGTACAGCTTTTCGTCTCAACTTCTATGGTTATATGTTAGGTGTGATTTCCTTGCCCTTTTGAGATGGGCTTGATTTCAAGAGGAGTTTAGCCGTTGTCAGAGGCTTTACTTCTTCTTCATTTTTTTTTTTTTTTGTCAAAGGCCTCACTTGATTTGGCGGTATTCGAGAACTGCGCATTTGGTGGTTGGTGGTGCTCAGATTTTCGTGGAGCAGATAATGACTGGGTGGTGACTGAAGACCGACAGATAATGACATAGGATCTATCACTGACTTCTGGCCGGTTGGTATAACAGTTTGATCCAAAACATCGCATGCTAAGGAGAGAGTTGTGGCTTCATTAGCTCTGCTACTAGCACCGGTGTTCTTAAATTTGGACTGGACTGATTGTTTCAACTAATCGAACCGGGTCTAGCCTAGAGGCAGTCAATCTCTATGAAAAAGTAAAACGTAATTAAAAACTAGTCAAAACCCATCAAATCCGTTAAACTTTCAACTGTTCAAATTCGATTTTTTTTTAAATTACAGTCTCTTTATCACCCGATTCCCGGCCTACTATTAGTGCCTTCCCACTTTACTAATTGAGCATCTGTTATGTTATTCTACCTTTTTTTTTTTTTGAAAAGTGAAAGAGGTTGTATTAATTAGATTGCTGGATATCGTCCAGCACCAACTGTTTGGCAAAAGCCGGGGGGAGTTCCAGAGAGATTCAGGAAGATTGGAAGATCTAGCAAACTGTGTTAAACTATGCGCAACCCTATTTGCTTCTCTAGGAGTCCAGACCACATCCAAAATGGGTAGGTCAAGCAAGGAAAGACGGATGTCCTCTATAACCGTGCCAAGGTCAGAGAGGACCTCATCCGAGCTATTAATCTGCTTAACCACTGAGGACGCATCCCCCTCAAGTATGAAGCTTGGGATCATCAAAGTTCTAGCCAGTGAAACCGCCTCTCTTGCAGCAAGAGCCTCTGCCAGGTCTGCATTAGTTTGGATTGAGATTTTCCTGGATAAGCCAGCAATGAAGTGGCCCTCACAATCACGAATAACCACACCAATCCCTACAACACGGTGAATTGTGGATACTGAGGCATCAAAGTTGACTTTGAAGTGGGGAACGAGCGGTGGAGACCAAAAGGAAGATGGCCTTGGTGACAGGACGGGTGCAGCCTGGAGGTTAGCCACCCGGAAGGCAATCTGACTATTAAGAGCATAGCTAACTAAAGTTAAGGGGTCCCGAATCCTACCATTGAAGAGAGCGTCATTCCTGTTGCTCCAGATTTCATAACTGAGAACAGCAAAATCCTCGCAATCCTTAGGTGGAAAGGTCCCAAGAATCTCCCTGACCCAAGCAGCTGCAAAGGGTTGACGACATGCTCGAATTTTCCTCGTCAGAAAGCTAAGCGCCCAAATTTGAACCGAGACAGGACATTCGAAGAGAAGATGGGTTAAGCCACCAGGCGGTTCATTACACACCGAACATATGTTCTCTACAGGAATCCTTCGCTTTTGGAGATTGTCCGGTGTAGGTAGAGAGTTGTGACAAATACGCCAGAGGAAGTGCTTCTTCTTGTTCGGGACATCAAGCGACCAGAGCTTCTTCCAAACTGCATCAGTACCAGAACTAGAGGACGCTTGCGCTGTCTGACCAACATCAAGGATGTCAGAATCCATTATTGCATGATAAGCACTTCGCACCGAGAACTTGCCATTCTGTGTAAAGTGCCAAAGCCATCTATGATTCGTCAAGTGTTTGCCATTCTGTCTTACCATTTATGTTATTCTACCTTATAAAGTAATAACTGTAATTAAAAGGAAAAATATAGTATTGATTATGGTTGAGATCTTACAACTGTAGATTCTATATTCAAATTCCTCCTTCTTCCTCTCCATTTTTTAAATCTCACATCTTCTCTATTACAAAAATATGTATATATTTAAAAATAGCACAACAAATGTAAACGAAAACACTAAATTGTAATTATAGTCATTAAACCTGGCCTAAGATGAACTCGGTGAAAGGGATAGGTCAATGAGTTAGCGGTTCTTCCTATGTAGGTGGGTGGTACACACTTCAACCAGTTGGTAATAAAAATATAATCCCTCTGTCTCAATAAAAGTGTCATATTTTCTATTTTGAGATGTCCCAAAACGTTTATCAATCTTGCTAAAGTAAAGGCTATTTTGATATATTTTTTTAATGTTATCCTCATCTTTATCTATATTCCATACTAAATCCAAATTTGAATTTTGAATTTTTGAAGGTAATTTTGAAAAAAATATATGTTAACATTACTATCAATCTACTATTCTTAAAAAGCTGAAATTTTAAAATGCGATAAACATTTTGGGACGAAAGGAGTATATGAATAAGATATATTACAATTTTTAATACAACATATATGGTATAATAATTAATAAATATATTATAAAATTTTTTATTGAATTTTTAAAATATTTATTTATTGTGAGAGTTATCACGAAATAAATTTATTTTAGTGATATATCTAATCTCCAAGTTTAGACTTTTGATTACACTTAGTGGAATTATATATCTTATTTACAAATTTTTAGTGTAAAACGTTATTTGGAGTAATATGTGTCTTTAAAATGAATTGTAGCAATATATTATTTTTTTCAATTGAACTCTTAATTTTTTAAATGTCATTTGAAGAGTAATAAGTTTTAATAAAAGTCTCCAAAAGAGTATCTGAAATTAATGTTTAAAAAAGATGGAGAATAAATGTGAAGGCCTTGGCTATGTGTATCCATTAGGAGTTTGAGATTTAGATCATGTTTGATAATCCAATTCAGCATTTAAATTTAATGAATCTAGATTTTAACGTTGTCAGACACGTTTGATAACCAAAATTTAAATATCTGAAATAATTAAGTGGCATTGAATTTTCTAGGCAAAACTTGCTTCAAAAAATAAGTGATAAACCATTCACTTATCACTAAATGTGATATACACCTAAACATATTAGATTTAATACTTAAGAATTCAATAATTTAATGAATGCAGATTTCAAACTTCAATTTTATCAAACGCACCCTTAATTTCACCAACGGATTAGGCTTGTGGCTTGGTGATAACTACAATGCTTTGTTATTTTTAAGGTCCTGAGTTCTAACCCTTGTTTTTTTAATAGCTAAACAAATCAAATTCATAATTTATTAAAGAATAATTTTTATTGATTGTGATTATTTGTTACAGTCAACTTGTATAATTAGATTTTGGAAACTCTATGGCAAACAATAACAAAGCCTCAGTTAATTACGTGGCCCTAGATATGCCACTGCAATTAGCAGGATTTCATGATTGATTTGCGAGACGAGCTAGGTAGGAAGATAAGCACTTTTGAGAGTCATTGGAACATTAGAATATTGCAGCAAGCAAAATCATTGTTGAGGGTAAGTCATTAGGACATTAGAGGATAAGCACATTTGAGAGTCATTGTTGAGGGTAAGTAACAAATCCAAGCATTTTTAAGAGTCGTGGGAACATTGTAGAAGGTTTGCATTTTGGCCTCGTAGGGTATTGAAATCACAGAAAAATCTGCGTTTAGATATTCTTGTTGCATGTTACCAACTTTTTGATGTACAGGCAAATATTTTTCAATCGAAAATCCTTGCTACAATCAATCATCTTGTATCTATCAGGTGACATAAAGAAAAGTTGATGAATCAATAAGATGCGCAAGTTTTACCATTTTGTATATTTACACTGAACATTCATATGCTAGAACTGCATTCCTTCTTACGATCAAATCACAATTTCTAGTACTAATAATCTCTCTCTTCTAACAACCATATATATTCCCAATTAAATTTTGAATTATTTGATTTATACTTGTTGCCTGCCAAAATTTTTGAGTATTCTAATACTTGAAAAACCGACAATTAGCTAACAAAAATTGGTTAGGAAATTCGGAAAAATTGTTGTGGATTAACTGTTTTTTGGGGTATTTTTTAAAAACTTTACTGTAGCAGAGTTTTTAGAATATATTTTGGAATATTTTTAGAAAATATTTTGGAATATTTAAGAGTAGAATAGTTTCTAGAATATATTTTGAGATAATTTTAAAAAAATTTAAACTAATTTTTAGATTATCTTTTAGAGTACTTTTTAAAAATTTTTATTATATTTAAAAAATTAGTTTTTCAAAAACACCCAAAAAACAGGGGATCCAAACAGAGCCCTTAGGATAGTTATTCTTTGTAGTTGCAAGAGAATTTGTGCTTGCTAGGGCCTAAGGATGAATGGGTTCCATGAAAGAATGAAAACCTGTTAATAAGGTTGAAGAAGCTGTTGGATATGATTGAGGGAGGGATTGGGTTCAGGGTTAGAGGAGGAAATTTCGAATCCTAATGGGTGGGCTGATTTAGAACTTAGAAGCATGCATTCATCCATAACCAAAAAGATGGCTAAAATTAGGGTTGGCAGCCGGACGGGGCAGTCCTTCCTAACCGCCTGCTCCGTCACCCAATAACTCCCGCTTGTCTCTAATCCCGGACCAGCGGGTGCTTCCTCGTCACCTCACTATTATTTTT